TATTATATTTCTGGAAAATTTAAGGGGTAGTTATATAATAATTTTGGACGATCTCAGGCGGTCGGATACTTATGACCACTACTGTATTTCTGAGAATAACAAGAAAATTCGTAAATTCAGTAGAATAGCGAAGATCTTGTTTGCCTTTATTTGCTTCTGATGCCTTAGAAACTTGAAGCATTATCTGACAAAGGCCCTTAAAAACAGGGTTTTTATCAAATGCGCCTTGACTGATCCTATTTGCAAACATTTGTCAAAATGCAAAATCAGAATCAGAATTTAAACCTTAGACGTGTCAGTTAATAATTGATATAATTCACATAGATCAGTGTGTTGAAGATGATTTATAAGCGCATTCGATTTTAAATAGTGTTTCAGAACAAACTTTCAGTTTTTAGATGCAGACGTTAGACGTGCAACTATATTTCAAAACTTCTTATCATTACCCAATGCTAAATATGCATTATAAACATCCTATTTTGCAAAACGTTCACATTTCAAAGATCGAACACACATTGCTGTCAAAAAAATTCTATTATAATAAACTCAAAAGTCTTAAATTAGTGAATGCTTTACAAAATATAATTACCAATCTGATCGATTATCCACTTTGATTCTGCTTGATACTGTCAGTTGAATTCCAATTTTTGATCCTTAGACAAATGGTTAAAATGATATTCAGAAGTTATTGAAAACAATTCTTTAGTAATAATTTCACGTTGTCACGTTATTTTAACTTCTATTGGAATTCGTTCAATATATTGTTGATACTTTCCTCCTAATAAACCTTAACAAGGTTTTTTTTTCGCAGGCAACTCAATAAGTTTATCAACTTTATCAGACCTATCTAATTTACTAGTATATTTAAAAAAATTAGTAATTCCAGACTGCTTATTTTTTAAGTTACAGCCATTTTGTAATTGGTTTGTTAAGTTTGTTTCTTTATAATCTCTATTTAAAGCTATTTATTTTTCACAAATATACTCAACCACAGTATTATTGTGAACATGCGCAATATTTGAATTTTTTTTAAGTATTCTAATGTATATTTCCAATCCATTTTAAGCAAGTTGGCAAAAAGTAAGTAGAACAGATTTCTCAACTTATTTTTACACACGTTATATTACTTAGTAAATTATGCATCATATTGTTATATTACATAGTAAATTACGTGACATATAAAATTTGACATCTAAAATTAGAGTAAATGACGTAAATCGAATCACTAATATAACTAAAAATGGCATGATTTATGCAATTTCAATCCCTGACATAGATCAAAGAGTTATCATTTTGACACATTTTAAATTTATGAATATCATAAAATTTTTGACACTGGTGACGCAAATTTAAAATTTTTGCACATGACCTATCTTAAGAGTTTTCAGGATCCTGTTAAGGTCTTATCTGAAAAATTCAATGCACAAATTCACAATTATTATCTAAATCTATGAAATTTATGGTAATATCCTTTTCATAAATATAATATAAGAATTTTAACAGCAATAAGTTGCATATTCTTTCTATTTCTACCAATTTATCCCTATATTTTTCACAATCTAAAATTCTGATGATATTTTTGAAATTATATCCAATAAGATAAAATTTAGGATTCTGTAATCATTTTAATATGTTATACCAAGCTGTATCTCTAATAACTATGTAACCTTACTGATATAATACTCTAAAAGTAGCTAAGTATACTACAGTACATAATCGTTCATATAACTGATTTTCTCTTTGCTTTTGCTCAAGTAATAGCAGAATAAATATTATATCTATTTTCTACATAAAATTGGTCACTCACATAATTAGATTCTATTAGTTTTCCATTAATATAATGATATATTTTATCACGAGAAATAATATCTAAAAACTTTTTATTGTCAGAAGTACCATTATTTCTCACCATCTCCCAAACTCGTTTTGTCAAAGATTTAGATCTTTTCTTATAATTAATTCTTATAAGCTTGCTGGATAACTATTATATAGAAATTTTCAAAGCTATAATTATAATAGTATTTAAGAATCAATAATCCCCAAGATCGCTTCATTGATCTTCTTGAAAAAAATTTCGTTATACAGGATCTAACCCAGAATAGGCAAATAAGGTTTTTTATTCTGCAGGTGATACATTTTATAATTATACTAAGCGATCATGCATGCAGATTATATTTCACAAAAAAATAAAGTTATGTTTAGCTAAATATAATTGAGATATATAATATTAATAATATTCAGTTGAAAGATATTAAGTCTATCTTTCGCACAGAATTAAAATATGCTTCAGCATCAATCAAGACCTGGCTTCTTTCAAATTTATAGGCTGAAATCTCTGATACACTTGCATTACGTCGCATAATGTATCTCTCAAAGCCACTCATTAATGTAATAGACTTTGGTGGCAAAGGAGGAAAAGTTAAAGAACATGACTTATCCATCCAAGATTCCCTTTGGGAATAGTATCTTTGATATTGGATAAGCTTTTTTGAAAAAGGAGGAGTTAAGAAAGTATTGTTCATATGAATATTTTTTTGCTGTTATAAATATAGTGAGGCTTGCTAGACGTAGTGTTTACATTACTTTGCATCTTATGCTTTTGCCTAATACATCAAATCCTATTTGATACATTTTCCAACCACATCTCATATCGATGGATTGCCTTCTTTGTGAAATAGCAAGGTGAAAGATTATTTTTCAACTTCATGTAATCTTCGAAGCTCATATTACAATATTCATTTCTAGTACAATTATTATGCCAATGTTTATCCATAAAGAATGCATGGAAATACTCATACCCACTTTCTAATTTGGAATAGACGAGCTGATTACAAGAATAACATATTCCTATATTTACTCCGAACCAAACATCACACTGATATAATAAATATGTTTGTTTTCTGGCGATAAGATATCTCTTATTAGAATCAGTCAAAAGATGATTTTTCTATATCCCATTAATGTATCCCAAATTCGATCCTTCCAATCTGATGGAGTCTCATTCCCACGCATTCTAGGAAGATCATAGTTAATATGTGAATCAGCTACACTTAAATGTATATAGGGATCAGAATATACCATATTTAGCCGAAGTGCTGTGTAATGATTATATGCAATATACTGATTTTTATTGATTTTATTGATTTATAGCTGATTTAGCAAGATTATACTCTACTAAATCCGAATTCATTTTTACTTAGCCGGGAATGAAGGGTATGGGAATATTGCAGACCTGAGGATTTATATAGAGACATATGCTAATTTTATATTCACATGCAATGTAAATTGATTCGCAGTCATAAGAGAGTAACAAGGATGTGCCTGATCGCTCTTATACGTATGATTCTAAGACATCAACAGCTTTTTACAATCAGGAAGTAGATATATATTCGTCATATACAGCTAAAATCATATGAAAACACCACACCTTAGATGCTAGTAAAGTTTTTATTAATATACACTCCCCTGAAGAAAGTATCTGGGCACGGCTTTTTGCGAATTGTAGCTTAATTATATTATGTTTTTAAATAAAT